TTCAGAGTCCCAGGAGAAGAGGAGAGAGGGAATGAGACTGCAAAGTATTTGCGTAAATCATGCCTGAAAACTTCCCAAATTTGGCAAAAGATATAAATGTACAGACTCAAGAAGCTGAGTAAACCCTAGTAATAGGTAAGAAGAGGATATAAATATAAATAGAATGTCCTGTTTCTTATGTGTTTCATAAATCATAATTAATGACTGAAGTAAAACCCACTATGGCACTTAAAGTCTAATAAGATATACTGAGACATTTGTATTTAAAAAGTAAAGACAGGGGCTGGGGATTTAGCTCAGCGGCATAAGCACCTGACTTGCAAGCAGGCAGTCGTGAGTTCGATCCCTGGTACCGATAAAAATGAAAAAGACAAAAAAAAAATTAAAAAAAAAAAAGTAAAGACAGTAAAGTGACCTCAATGAAAGTGAAGCTTCTGCTCTTCACCTAAATTGTAAAACACCAGTGTCAGCAGATTTGGATAAGTTACATGTGGATATTGTAAGCCTAGAACCATTAAGAAAATAGTTCATAATGTTATACTCAAAAATCAACTGATAAGTGGGGTATAGTGACACATTCCTGTAATCCTACGACTCAGGAAACCGAGGCAGGAAGATCACTGAAAGTTTGAGGCCAGCTGGAGGCTACATCGTGAGTTCAGGGGCAGGGCCAGCTAGAACTACAAAGCATGGCCATATCTCAAAAAATAAAACAAAATCAATTGATAAGATAGAATCCTGAAACATGTTAAAATAATCGAAAAGAACAGAATAAACCAAAAAAGGGGGGAGGGGCAAACTATGCCCTAACACATTATCAATGAACTTATTTTAAATGTAAATTATCTAAACATAAATTGAGATTGCCACAGTGGATAAAAAAGCATCTATATGAAGCTCACTTGAGAGTAACAGATTAAGTTAAAAGTAAAGGATGAAAAAAAAAAAAAAACATACCATGGCAGCATTAGTGAAAACAAGGGAGTACTGTGCACTAAACTACCTGATAAATTAGACTTCCGTGTAGAGAAACATACCAGAGAGAGGGAGAGTGAATACTGCCTATTCTCAGCCATTCCAGCATTCTTGAGGCTGGGAAGACGGTTGTGCCGGCAACCACAGTGCGGAGCAGGAATGGATACACGGTGTTAAAGGCCACCATGGATGTGCAGAGGTTGCTGGGGGAAGATTACTTCTGGCTGGGGCATTGAAAGAGGCCTTGTCCAGGAAGTGGATCTCAACAGCCTTCAAAGGATGTGTAAGATTTCAGCAGGTAGAGAAGAGCACACAAACGAGACCATCTTGGAGCTCTCCGTTTGCCTACCAACTAAGAAAATTCTAACAGGTACGGATATTGAAACAGAAACAGCATAAAAGCCAGGTGGGACTTCGAAGTCCAGAGAAGTGGTCAGCAAGCAGTAGCTTGCTGTAGAGGCTGTGCTCACAGCACTCTGACTGAAGCCGTGGACATTCTCCCTAGAGAACTCATACATGTGTATAGTTCCAAGTTCCTTGGACATCCTAAATCTCAAGAGTGGGCCTACACGTCACCTGTGGACTGCAGATTAGCAACTTTTATTGTAGAATATCTAGGATTATATTAACTAAAGTTTCACTTTTTTGTTTGTTGTATCACACTTTTCACTAACGTGTTTAGACTTAGAAGAAACTTCCATTGTATTTTGTAGAGCACTTTGGTGCTCCTGTCCTGTAAGAGCCAGTATTTCTAAAACTCAGAAGCACTACTTGGATGTTGCACCAGATTTGCATGAGAGCAAAAGCATAAATCAGCTTCTGGGGTCTGGAGCCCAGTTGGATTTTTATTGCCCTGTTGGCAAATTGCATTTAAGTAAGCAAGTTTATTTTTATACTTGGACACACATGGTTGGTCCTTTTATAATGCCCCCCCCCCCCCGTCAAATCATTGTCAGTTGAAAGAAAATCTAGAGACCCCTTTAGCCATGCTGGGGATACAGAGGCACAAAGGAGCATTCTTGTCCTCCAGCTTCCAAGTTTGCAGGTTGATTATTGTAACCAGATCTTGTGAGAGAAGTAGTCTTTGACCTTCTGTCATCTGTCATGTGATATTTGGAATATAGTTGTACTTGATGCCAGGTGGTGCTCTGTTGGTAGCTCCTAATTATTTTGTTATTACATAGTTAAGGGTGGTCCATGGATTGTATCTTTTACAAATGGATCTACAGAAGTCAACCTAAGGCTTATCTAGAGATATAATTATAGGGCGATTTTTCAAGCCAAAGACACTAATGCTATGTAATGGACCAGGTGTGTCACTTGTGTTACCTGAAAGGCTATGCCAGCCCCTAACAACAGATGGGTTCATTTCGTACTGTAAAGATTATTGCTTGAATTTAAACCAAAGATTTGAGGTCTTCTTTGTATCTGTGTCAAAAGGGCTGGAATCTCAGCACTCCAGGAGGGTGAGGCAGGATAGCCAGGTCTAGCCCATTATGGGGAACTTAGTCATTTAGTGAGATCCTATCTCAAAATTTTTAAAACAATTTTTTTTAAAGGGCTTAGGAAATAGCTTGATGCAAAGAACCTGAATTCAAACCCCAGCACCACAGGAGGAGGAGCCACAACTGGAAAAGCTGCCACTTGGCACCAACCAAGTGGCCTTTTAGGGATGAGCAGAGTGTAAATGATAGTTGCTGACCTGTGTGCTAGTCTTTCTGTATGTTTTGTTTGCCAGTTAAGATCACTGTCTTGGAACTAAAGGTGTGGCTCAGGAGTAGTAATGTATGTTAAGCATGTGCCCTGAGTTCCATCCCCAGCATCACAAAAAAAGGAAAATACTGAATTGTCTGCATCCGCATTAGGATAACTGTTCGGGTATGTCCAGGCTCACTGGACATGTCATTGAGGAATATGTCATTGTGGAAGACATATTTTGCACTCTGTGTCAGCTTATCTGGTAGAGAAACCAATGCCTCTATGGTGGTTCCATAGAGCAACTATTTGGAAGTTGAGCTTTGAGTGTACAGTGTCCACGGGACAGTAAGACAGTGGTCCCTACTCTTAGGAGGGTTTGTGAGCGAGTAGAAGTAGTCCAAGGCAGCGAAAATGTTTGTTCCAGGTGTCCAGGTAAAACAGTATTCCTAACTTCTGCCTTTCTACAGCGGCAAACCTGCTCGATCATTCAGAGCAGGCACTTTGTGCCTTGCTGTGTGTGTAGCTTAGGTGAAAGAGACGCAGTCATTGTCTCATGGAGCTATCTGCCATCAATGGGACATGTATTGGCCAGACCAGGTGAGTGGTGTCCTGGGGCTGTGATTCTGACCACTGAGGAATTTCTGATGAAATAGTCCGGTGATTATCTTTGGTCACAGTGAGCATACTGCCACAGTCATCGACAGGACATGAAGAAATGCAAATTGCATTGATCATCAAGCTGGAATTATGTTTGTCTTTGCAGACAGGATACACAGTGTGCTAAATGAAAGAGCTGACATTAACTGAGAAAAGAACGATAGTCATTGTTTAAAGTCTCACCTTATATGTGATATTTCATTCAGATATAGGGACCAGCCACTTCAGACATTTGTGTTTAGAATTTCTATAATACTTGTTAACAAGACTTTAATCTGTATTTTCCACTCATACTGGGATTTTTTTGTTGTTGTTTGTTTTTAGACAGTCTCAGTATGTAGTTCAGCCTGGCCTTCAACTCAATTGACAGCCGAGGCTGGCCTTGAACTTGCAGTAATGGTAATGCCTCAGTCTCTCGAGTGCTGGGATCACAGGCCTGTAGCACCACACATGGCTCCTGCTCATACTGTTTTACATCTATAATTCTTGGCACACACAGATAACCAATAAGTGTTTATATTTTTGTGGCCACTTAAATTTTTTTTTCTTCAAGGAAATAAAGTTCCCATAATTTTAGTGTTAGGATGGGAGAGGAAATGTTTTTCCCCAGGGTTCTGATGACTTGATGAGATAGATACAGGTCAAAAACTCTGTTAAAGTGTGGAATGATACGGGCCAGGATGAGAGACTCCTGGGGAGCTTAGCTGGTCAGAATTTAGAAACAGAAAACTGGTCATTTACCTTCTTATCAGTATATATTTGGTACAACTGTAATGAAATGGTTTTTAGACAAACATACCACAGCTAGCAGAACATACTAGTCAGAGCAGATGCCTTATTAAAAGAAATCATCTTCGGAAGCCAAGTCAGCAGGCACCTATGAAGAGCCTCTCTGTGCCTGGTCTGCCAAAACTACAAAGGTGAGGCAGCCGGCCCGCAGGGAAGCCTCCTGTCCCGGCCACCCTCTCTGGGGTGGTGTTTGCTCCTTCAGTAACTCTGTCAGAGGTGAGGAGTTCTCCAAGAACTAAGATCTTCACTTTCCCAATTGATGTTCCCTGGGGGAGGGAGTTTACTGCCTGTTCTTGTCTAGCCCCCTGTTCAGGGAAGAGAACTGACTTGTTAGACTGGCAGCACCCTCTCTTCAGAACCACCTGCCCACAGGAGCATGTTTTCTTCCTTCATGCCACTAGGTATAGGGCCTGCTTCCCTCTGTTTGTCCAGCTGTGCAGGAGAACAGGCCAACTTGGCTGCAAAGCTAAACCAATCTCTTTAACAAAACAGCCAGGAGTTTGATCTCCATCTCTCTGACTCCTGTTTTAACTATCGAGTTGGTTCTAATGTTGGGAACAAAAGATGACAAACTGAGTCTGAAGCCAGTCTGAACAACACAGCCAAGGGCACAGAGGGAGGATTCTAGGATGTGGATAGCACTTCTCTTGAGCTCAGGCTTAGTCACTACCATGCTGAATAGTCTCCCTAATGCTCCAGCCTGGGGAATAGCAGGCCAGGGATCTGGAACATAAGCTCAGGAAAAAAGCAGAGCACCTCAAACCCAGAGGACCATGGCAGAGGCAAAAATGTTCTGAACTCAAGCTCAGGAGTCTTTGGAGTAGGTTGGAGGTCTAGGATACCAGTAGAATTTCAGAAGAAAACCCACTCAGTCCAGGCCAGTTTTGAGCTTTATTCATCTCCTTCCTCAGATGTGGACTGAAAGTTGCTCTGACCTGAGAAGACAAGTAGGTGAAAATAGTGTCAGGAAAACTGGCCAGAGTGCTTCTGAAGGAGTGGGCTGGCAAAGAGCAAAGCACGGGAAAGTTAAAAGAAATGACATGGCAACTCTTAAGTACTGTGGCCAAAACGGGGTGCAGGGAGGATAGCATGCAAAGACAGATGGAAAACTGTGTCTGGGAAACAGGCAAACCGAAACAGAAGTACATTGCCTGAGAGTGCTTTGTATCCTATACAAAGCATAACAAGCATATAGATAAGTCACAAGCAGGAAGGAGCAAAAAGATTCAGCTGAAGAGTAAGCTAATGTGGACAGCAGGGCACACATCCCAGTCCTACTCACCATCCACGTCCACACAGTTGCACAGTTAGGAGTCTCCAGACACCAGGCTCCTTCAGACATTTGTACAACAAACACCTTACATCAGTGTCCAAAGAAGGCTTGGTACAGTCTTCCCTCATAGGGAAAAAGGGGTGTCTGCCGATTTAAAGGCTTCTCCTTCATTTCTCGGTTATGAACTGGCCAAGGCAGCAAGCTGGTTGTCAGGGCCAGAGGTGGTAAGTGGTGGCCTTTTGTCCTCCTAGCCCATCTCTGCTGGCACTGCTGTGAGCCCTTTATACTTCACTGGAGAGAGCAGGCCGTTTTGATTGTGGGCACGACCATTAAAGAAGAGCCTATTCAAGCAGAGAGAAGTTGATTTTGTTGGGCAGCTTGCTAAACTGAGGTCTTCTAGAAGCTGGGGTGATGTGATCAGTTTTTTTTTTCCCTCTACCATGTACCCTGTACCCATACATAATGGGAACAGAAGGCCACTTGGGTGGCACCTGCAGCACATTGAGTAAGCAGCTCTGGCTCTTCTCCTTGGCACCTTGTAACAGTCCTGAAAAAGTTCCCATGTCTGGCTTCACAGCGCCCAACCCCCTTTTCACGTAATCCCTTGTTTGTTAACCACAGTGGCCCCACAGTGACTGGGGGTAGGCTAGGCAAGGGTCATGTTTCAGATGAGAAAACGGAGCTGGCAGCCCTTTGTAACACGTGACTCTGCCTGTTGGGACGTTAGTGTTAGTGGGCTGTGTTGGGCTACTTGAGCTCAGTCTCCCTGAAATGTGGGAGTGTTGCAGAAAGGGTGATGTCGGCAGCAGTAGTTGTAGTTCCCTGTTCTGTGAGGCGGTGGTAGCTACTCGAACTCTCTTGTCCAGTGTGATCATTGCTACAAGTAAAAGCAGCAGGGCTCTATCTCATGGAGGACAGTGCAAAATTCTGAATGAATCACATGCAGTACATACATTCATCCGTCACCGGGACACACATACCTGTGCTCACAGAACACTCAGACACACACAAGACACTTCAAGTACTATTGTCCTATAGTAAAGATGCATGTAACCATGTCCAGGGGAAAAAAGCCTTCTTTCTATGCTACAGTTACGGACCTGTCATTTTTTGTTTGTTTTGTTTTTATTTTTGTGGACCTGTCATTTTTAAAAATATATTTTCTACAGTAATAGTATTTTAGAAGCTGCATTGATGATAGCAGTTTGAAGACATGAATCCCTAGGAATAAGATTTAACTGTCCACTAGTGATTAAAGCGTTTTTTGCTCATGTGAATTCCTCTAGAGTTACCCGGAAATTTTCGTTTTGAATTGTAGGTGTCGTAACTTAATTTCTGGTTTGAATCTAGCTTTAGAATTTTTGTAATCTTGAATATTTTCAGAATGTATAAATATTTGCCAAGCAAACCACAACATCTTCAGCATTTTTTTAAATTGGAAACTTGTCTTAATTCTTGGTAGCTTGCCTGAGCTCCCACATTCCCCACATCTCTCCCCTGACCAATGTTTCCCCTATTAGTAACATCTTGCCTTCATGTGATACATTTTTCAGAACTCATGAACCAATGTTGATACAATATTAACTGAAGTTCATAGTATACATTAGGATTTTCTGTCTGTGTTGTATAGTCCTCTGGAGGTTGTATTTTTGGGTTTTGTTTTTGTTTAGTTCTGTTTTTTTTGAGACAAGATATTGTCCTGTAGTTTGGGGCTGACCTCATAGCTGTCCTACCTCAGCCTCCCAAGTGCTAGGATTACAGGTATGTACCACCTGGCTGATTCTGTAGCTTTTGACAAATAGGTCCATCATAACTGTGTCCTACACGTATCTCCACGACCACCATTCTGCTGATGTTTGTCTTCTCCCTCCTGCTCCCTGGGGAGTCCTGGGCATACCTCTGTCCTCAAGAGCTTTTTCATATATCTGCCCCACCCCAGTACTGGTAACTGAACTGAGGGCCTTTGCACTGACTGAGATCCCAACTCTTTTTAATTTAGTTTTTTTGTTGGTGTTGTTTTGTTTTGTTTTTTAAATCTGAGACAGAATCTTGCTAAATTTCCTGCTCTGGGCTCAAACTTGCTGTCCTGCTGTCTAAGCCTCACAGAGCGCTGGGATTATACTGCACCATCCTGACCAGCGCAGAAATTCTTCATAAAGCTGTTTTTCTGCTTATGAATTTCAGTGGGCCTTAATTCTCCATCAGACCAACTAATTTCTTTTCCTGTTTTTATGTGTCTTTTGTATACTGGACTCTGTTACAGTTTAGATCTAAAATGGCCCTCAAAGCTTCATGTGCTGGAAGGGGACTGGATTATGGGGTGTTATGGCTGACTGGCTATTAGGAAGTAGGGTTTGCTCATAAGGGGTGGGTCACTGTGATCTTGACCCAGAAGCATTTATCGCTCTGCCCTTTTCCTCCGTTGACTTTGCTTCTTGGCTGCCATGAGGCTCTTCCATCATGCTGTTTCTGCCTGGAGCAGGTTAATCATGCAAGGACTAAAGTTTCTAAAACATGAGCCAAAATAAACCGTTTCTCATCCTCTAGATTGCCAATGTCAGGTATTTTCTCCCAGCATTGAGGAAAGTGACTGAAACATGCCCTATCACCATCAAATCACATGGCATTTGTACATCTTATGGGTATAATAGTTGACTAAAACTAGAAACATCATCTCTGAGGACATTAGAAATACATTTGTGAATTCCATAGTCCTCATGCAGCCAGGAAGCAAGGAGCCAGATCTGTTCATCTCTAAGCCAGAAATAACCACAATTGCTATACTGTCTGTCCTCTCAAGTGCTTTCTCCTCCATGCTAAGATAGCACCTCCTCACCAGAGCCTCCTTCCCTACTCTACACTTTCTCCATAGCTTGGCTTCTTATGTTTTAAGGAGAAAAGAGCTTCCTATCACACTGCTGAGCGGTTACAGAGAGCCACTTAGCCCGTGCTCTGCCCTGGCAAATGATAGTAGCAAGCTTCTGCTTTCTGACTCCTGCATGAATGGAGGGGTCTGGCAAGTGATCAAGAGAAAGAGAGAGATTTCTTCAGCACCTTTTTTTTTTTTCCTGGTGGTGCAGGGGATCAAACCCAAGCTTTATGCATGCAAGGCATGCACTAAACCACGTCCCCAGGCCCTCTTCCAGCACTATTTCTTGTGGACCCTGACTCTGTAATTCACTAATTTGAGCATGTTGTTTGATTCTTGTTGGGCACCAGTGTGAGTTAGGGTGTAGGCTGTCATAATTTCTCTTCCGAGGAAAATAGGAAGATCTGTGGTTCAGAGTGAGGCCATTTGTTCCCTGTTTGATGCGTGGCAGAGAATGGGGCAAGCTCCTTGTGGTGCCTTAGTCCAGTTGTGTGGCTTAACCGCTCCCATGTGTGTAATCACTTGGCAATCTTATTAAAGTGCAGATTCTAATTGAGCAGGGCTAGAATGGGCCTGGGGCTTGACTCTGCTTTAACTTCACAGGTGGTGTCTTTGCTGCTAGACTACACTGAGTAGCAGGGTTGTTCACAACACTGAAACCCTGCAACAGCCTGACTGCTAACAGCAGGGGAGACATGAGGGCCATTAGTAAGACAATCACCTGATGTTTAGTGAGCAGCTGCTCTCTGTCAGATGCATCATGAGAAAAAACAAATTGTTGCCTCAGAGAGCTTACAGTCTTGTGCAGGATGCATACATCAGTACAATAAGCAGGTAGATGTTTAAAATGTTAGAAGGTGAAGAGTGCCCTGGACAAGAGAGACAAGCAGACCAGGGAGCAGGCGGGTGGTAGAGAGGCTGCTCTCAGGGTTCCCATCGGAGCAAACATGGAGGAAGTGGGTGGGGGAGGCGCGTGTGTGAGGAGAGTGCAGGTGAGTCCAATGCTGAGCAGGCGGGGCCCACAGGAGCCAGTGTGGCTGGTGTGGGAGGCGGGCAGAGACAGCTCTGAGAGGCATGGGAAGGAACACTTTGGAAGGTTTCAGCACCCAAGTGTCCCTTAGAGGACGACTCTGGATGCTGGCACTACAGGGAAGTAGGGGTGGCACATGGGTGGATGCAGGAGACCAGAGTGAAGGTAGGGAAAGGAAATCAGAGTCCAGACATGTTTGGAAGGTGCTGATGATGAAAATTAGCTTTTTGAGACATGGAAACATCGTTGTGATACTTAACTGGAAAATGAGTAAACTTTCTTGAGTGTTTAAATAAAAACCGGTTGCCAGATGTGGCTCATACCTGTAGCTTTTGAATCCAGTAGATTCAAAAGTTCAAGACCCCTGTGGACAATGCAGTGACTTAATAAGACCTTGTCTCAAAAAAAACTTTGTAAATGAAAAATGGAATAAAGCTCTGTGCAGAGGCACTGGTTCAGTTTCCAGTACCAGGAGAAAAAAATTGTGATGGGTAGGGTATAATGACTTTAAACAAAATAATGGTATTTATCTCTAAAGGGGAATTGTTTTTATTTTGGCTTTTTATTTTCTAGAAAACACATTATTATTTTAGAAAATTAAAACTTTCAAAAGACTTCTGCTTCTTTGTGTAATTCATTACATGTTCTTTATTCCAAGATTACTCATTTGCATTGCACTTCACAGATACCAGTATGTGGTTTGTGCTTCATTATGTCTGCATTATGCCTTTTAAATTCTGTTCAGTGGTTGTTTGTCTCGCCAACTAGAAAGCCAGCTCCTTTGAAGTGCAGGGTTGCATTTGATTTCTCTGTCCTGCTTGTGGCAGATTGCTCCTAAGTGCTTTTTGAATAAATTGTTCTGATTTCAAGTCCTGCCAGGCTTCTTCCAAAGCAGTTTTGTTTTTCTAAATCTGCAGAAGGTTATTATTAGGATGGCTGGAAGACCAAAGATGCTTGTCTTTATTATGGGTCTCATTTCCTCTCCCTATATGTGTTGTTCTTATCACCTGCCCCAAGGGCTTTCCCACACACCATCCAAAATTCTTAATTTGAAGCCAATGGTGTAGTGGCACAGGCCTCAAATCCCAACTCTGTGGGAGGCAGAAGCAAGAGGATCTCAAGTTAAAGCCCATCTTTACAATTTAGAAATTTAGTAAGACCTTGACTCAAAATTTAAAAAAAATTAATAAGGCCTTAGCCTCAGTATGAAAGTCCTGGGTTCAGTACCCAGTACTACCAAAACACACATGCAGCATAATTTGTGCTTCTAGAAGCCAGTGTCAGTGCACATCTCTTCCCTACCATCTTGCAGTTAGATAAGTACACTTTTGTGTAAATATTTCCCCCTTGTTTCTGCAGTTAGCAAATGGGTCCCTTGGGCTTGTTGTGTGCATTGTGTGAAGTGGGGAGGAGTACACCTCAGGACCAGGAAATGTGGAAAAGGTCCCTCCAACACAGCCTGCCACACATGGCTCACACCCAACTGTTTTTGTTACAGATGATATATGAGTAGTTCCTGAGTGTAAGAACTGCTTACTCTTCCAAGGCCATTATGGTGGATGGTAACTGTGTTCCTGAAAGACCTATTGTCTCTAATCTCTCAAACCACATTGAGTTCCA